CCCAGTGTCCCCAGTGCCCTCGGGGCCGTGTCCCAGTGGGCCCCTAGGCCAGCGTCCCTGTCCCCCAGTGACCCCCGGACCCCGGTCCCTCTCCCAGTGTCCCCAGTCAGTGTCCCCAGTGTCCCAGTCCCTCTCCCAGTGTCCCTGTCCAGTGTCCCCAGTGTCCTGGTCCCTTTCCCCAGTGTCCCCATCCACTGTCCCCAGTGTCCCAGTTCCTCTCCCAGTGTCCCCATCCAGTGTCCCCAGTGTCCCTATCCAGTGTCCCCAGTGTCCCCGTCTCCTGCCAGCTGCCCCAGCACATCCCGAGCAGGGCCCCCGGTGTCCCCAATGTCCCCGATGTCCCCCAATGTCCCCAATGTCCCTGATGTCCCCGATGTCCCCAATGTCCCCGATGTCCCCGATGTCCCCGTCCCGCAGCGGGGGGCTCAGTAACCTGCTGTACAAGTGCACACTGCCCGATGGGTCCCTGTCCCCTTGGTGTCCCCAATATCCCTGATGTCCCCAATGTCCCCAATGTCCCCAATGTCCCTGATGTCCCCGATGTCCCCAATGTCCCCGATGTCCCCGATGTCCCCTGATGTCCCCGGTGTCCCCAATGTCCCCGGTGTCCCCAATGTCCCCGATGTCCCCGATGTCCCCAATGTCCCCGATGTCCCCGGTGTCCCCGATGTCCCCGATGTCCCCGATGTCCCCGATGTCCCCAATGTCCCCAATGTCCCCGATGTCCCCGTCCCGCAGCGGGGGGCTCAGTAACCTGCTGTACAAGTGCGCGCTGCCCGATGGGTCCCTGTCTCCTCGGTGTCCCCGATGTCCCCAATGTCCCTGATGTCCCCAATGTCCCTGATGTCCCCAATGTCCCCGATGTCCCCGATGTCCCTGATGTCCCCGATGTCCCCGATGTCCCCGATGTCCCCGTCCCGCAGCGGGGGGCTCAGTAACCTGCTGTACAAGTGCACGCTGCCCGATGGGTCCCTGTCCCCTTGGTGTCCCCGATGTCCCCGATGTCCCCAATGTCCCCGATGTCCCCAATGTCCCTGATGTCCCCAATGTCCCCTGATGTCCCCGATGTCCCCAATGTCCCCGATGTCCCCGATGTCCCCATCCCGCAGCGGGGGGCTCAGTAACCTGCTGTACAAGTGCACACTGCCCGAGCACGTGCCGAGCGTGGGGGACGAGCCCCGGCAGGTGCTGCTGCGCGTCTACGGGGCCATCCTGCAGGTGAGGGCACCGCCGCGCCCCAAAACCCACAGCGACCCCCGAGGGACCCCCCGGGACCCCCGAGGGACCCCCCGGATTAGGGAATCCTGCTGGGGTGCGGGGTGCTGGGGTTGGGGGGCTGTGGCCGTCCTGTGGGTAAGGGGACAGCCACACCCCATGGGGACCCCCGAGACCCCAAACCCCATAGGAACTTCTGAGACCCCAAATCCCATGGGGACCCCCGAGATCCCAAACCCCATGGGAACACCCAAGACCCTAAACTCTATGGGAACCCCTGGGATTAGGGATTTTCATGTGCATTTTTGGGATGGGGGAGTGCTGGGGTTTGGGGTTCAGGGGCTATCCTGTGGGTGAGGGAATAGCCACACCCCATGGGGACCCCCAAGACCACAAACCCCATAGGAACCCCTGAGACCCCAAATCCCATGGGGATCCCCAAACCCTGTGGGAACCCCATAGACCCCAAACTC